CTTTGCACCTTAGTTGTCAAGCCTGACACCAATCATAGTTTACATTGGACCAAAAACTGCTCCGATAAAAATCATTTTTGAAAACTTTAATGAAACTGAAAGGTAGTGATAAAACTGTGACAGATATAAAACCTCTATTCCTCATCCCTACCCTCCCTAGTGTGTCAGTGAGATATAGTCCCCAATTCCTCAAATTCCAATTATCCTTTAGGAGACCCTACTCTTTCACGCATACTCCTAAATGCTTCGTGTTTGAACCTATATAGAGTAAGGCTTCTATGTCTGTGTTGTATATAAACAATCCTGTATGAAACTAGTAGTTTTTACCACAGCGACCAAGTGCATACATGCATTCAAGATCTCCATCAAATGTATGAAAAGAGGGATGACATTAAAATGCATTAATGGCTAAATTTTTTTATAAAAAATGGACAGACAAGTTGAAATGTGCAACTGGAAACAGAGATAACATTCAGTAACCATATCTTCTACTTATATTCAGTATTATCAGCATGGAAATTTTGCTTGCAGGTTGCAGCAATATAAGCACTAAAGCAATGTCTAGTGTATAACTCACCTAGCTGTTGAACAGCATTACTCCTCCCTGGACCAATCCCCACTCTTCCCTCCAGTTTTAAGCTTGAGCCTCACATTTAATATTTCAATACTTTTTGAGGCAGCCTTGCACATATCATAAATGGTTAGCCCAGCAATGCTGACAGCAGTCAGAGCTTCCATCTCGACCCCAGTCTTTCCCATTGTTGAGGCTTGTCCGTGGATAACGACACTGTAATCCCGGTGATTTAAAGCCAAATCAACATCCACATGTGACAGGCTAATATTATGGCAAAGTGGGATAGGTTGCTAGTTTGCTTTGCTCCTGTAATTCCTGCAATTTTGGCCACACTAAGCACATCTCCCTTGGCTAACTGGTTTGCTGACACCAAATCAAACACCTCCTTTCCCAATACAACTTTGCCACTGGCAACTGCCGTTCTTTTGGTGTTTTGTTTGGGAGAGACATCCACCATTTGTGCCTCCCCTTGCTTTCCAATATGGGTTAATCCACATACTTTTTCAGATACTTCAGAAGTTGAAAACCGAGTATCTTGAGTTACATCTCCAGAACCACTTGAACCTAAAGGGCCTGCTGATGAAGGAGGTTCACCAAATATGTCTTCCAGTTCCTAAACTCATAAATTTGGATAAACATCACTTAGTACACTACATGAGAAAGCATCCTAAGTTAAGTACCAAAAAGGAAAGTAGTATTGCTATACAAAGAAGAAAGCATATTGATGTACAAATTTATTGAACACAAGTCTATCATATCAAACTACAATTCATATCAATTAATCGTCCATTGTGTCAATTAACAAACCACAAAAATCCAATAATCTAGACACGGGAAATTGACAGCTCGATAGGGTTTGATTATGTTATTTATGAAAACAAAACATCCAAATGTAATCTAATCTAATCAAATCAAACATTTTCATATAAAATTTAACAAAAACTCTTAACTTTCAATACATTGTTCAGCAAGAATTTCTTCAAAACTATTGCACTTAATTACAAGTTAAGCATATAAAGTGCAAATTTCATATAGGATCCAATATATATTTGTTTAATATGTGTTGTAGTAAGCAGTCATATAGGCAGTTGGCATACCTTATTGAACTCCGCAATGGAGGAAGCAAGGTCATGAGTGTTCTTAGTTGATAAGAATCTTTTAGAAAGAGAAAATGTTGTAGGAAATTTTCGCAGAAGCATCACCAACTCCAATTTTAGAGAAGCACAACCTTTACATGTCAAATCCAAACAAAACATTACAAATAAATATAGACTATGGTACGAAGTATAAAATTCAGGCATTCTATAAACTAGTGGTGGGTGGTTGTTTAGTAAACAAATACTTGATATGCGGGTTTATAACAATGCACAAGGGAAGTTCATAAGTTAATCCTATATAATTTTTTCATTTTGATCATATTATTCTCATATAGAGAAGATGCCAGTAGAATATGCAAATTTTAAATGGGGCCTTAACCTTTGCAAATTATTTCTCTTAAAGTACATACTTGCACACCAAAACATCATCACTTGCAAATTGCAATGCAAAAAGTACTCTCTAAATTCTGAATGTATATGTTTTCACAAGTACAGTATACTATTTTGCATCAAATTAATAAATATACTTCTTATATGATACGTAAATTCAATGGCGGATCCAAAAATTTTGAAATGGGGATTCGAATATAAGATCAAATCGACCAATTACAGAAAATCAAAGTTCAGTACCATAGTTCAATTTACTATTTGAATTACAACCTACAAATTCATTTTCCACATTCTAACATTTCACAACTCAACATATATTTTTAATAATTACCATATATACAATCTATGCTTTACCTATTGATTAAAATTTATAATCATTTGCAAAGTAATAATCATATTTGTAATGTACAGGGTAGTTAGCAAGTAAAACAAACCCAAAAATCATAATTGTGACTCCCCTAAATAAACACCAAGAATCATTAGACTGTAGTAAAGCAAAATTAGAAAATAAGATATCAAATCCAAACTATAAAGTATTCTAACCTTTTCTGTGAATATAAATCACAACAATTTAGCCAGTAGAAAAATCGAGAACGGCGGCAGCAGTGTGGTCAGAGCGGAGCAGGGGCTACCGGCGGCTACGAGAGAGGATGAGAAGTTGAGGGGAAAATGGTCACAAAGAGTAGAAAATTGAACAACTGGGAAACTCGCATTATAAGTTACAGTGTTTTCCCTACATGACGTTGAAAAGAGCTGCAGTTCATAATTATACTTACTTTTTTATAAATTCCCTATTTACCGTCTTATATCACCAATTTTATTATTTTCTTCTGGTAAATCGCTACTTCAAGTAGAGATTTTGCCAAAAAAAAAAAATGTTTGGTGTGGACGGTAAATTGAGAATTTATAAAAAAAAAAAGTAGCTGTAATTATAGAATTGCAGCTCTTTCCAACATTATGTAGGGAAAGCACTCTATAAGTTGCCTATATAAAAAAATGACATTTATGTATTAATTTCTGTGTCATTTTATTATTTTATTTTTATTATTTAAAAAGTAAAAAAAACCATTATATTGTTAAAGGAGATATATTTACAGATTTATGTCAGAGATCAACTTAGATTTTTCCCAAAATTTTAGATTTAACTCAAAAAATTTATTATTTTTTTTATCAAACTAACAAAATTTCAGATGTAACCCAAAAAAATACAGTATTTATGAGTATTTCTTACAAAAAAAAAATACAGTATGTGTATATTCTGTATTATAAATGGTTGGGGGAAAATTTGAGAGGATAGAAATTAGAATTATATGATAATTTTTCCCCAAATAGATTATGTTATACTCCATATATGATTATATGTTTTTAGATACATCCGGATGTATATAAGGTAGGTGCACTTAAGGATGAGTTTTTTGCTCATTTGATATTTTTTTTTTGGCTCATTTTAAAATGAGTAAAAAAATATTAATGAGCAAAAATAACCCACTTTGCAGCCGGGTTTATATAAATATTTTCAATATACGTATTGTCATAGAAAATGTTTATAAACATTACGTGGATATGTTTCTTAAAGGGTTAGTTTAAGAATTTATATTAATTCATGTGTCAGTTGATGTCATTAGTGTCTGGTTAATGCTTAATTTTTACTTTGTCTTACATTAGAAATTATGGTTGCAATTACCAATTTTTAGTTTTTAAGCATAACTAGTTTAAGTCCCGTGCAATGCACGGTTGTTATTAAATTTTATAAAGAGTTATTATATTGAATTTTATAAAAAAATTATACTCATAATTAATACTAATTCAAAAATAAATATAACTTTAATTTATACCTAGCTATACCAATGTCAAGATTAGTAACACTTAGACTTGATTTAAAAAAAAAAAAAAAAAAAAAAAAAGGAGGGGGGGGGGAGTCTATGTACCCGCGCGTGCTGCGCTATTATTGATATGTGTGTGTTAGAAAAATGATTTTATTTTTAATTGAATTAAACATTATTGCAAAAGTAAAAAAATTGGAAGAAAAAAAAAATGTTAATAGTATTATCGAAAACTAAGATAATATAGAGTAGTATTGTTTAATAATATTTACCTAATATACATTCATTTATTTTAAAATAAAAATACCTAATATAAAATACTACGTATATGTAAAAATATATTAGTTGGGTTTATATGGAGAATTATTATTGTTAAGAATTTTAATTGGAAGAAAGATATGTTGGATTATTATAAAATAATCTCCTTAAAAAATCTACGTAAAAACGGAAATGAAATGGGCGGAAAAAAATTTAACCAGGAAACGACATGTGTTATTCCTAGTTTCGCTTTTAGTATATAGTTATTATTGATGTTGTGTCGAAGATGATAAATAGACAAAAATTAAAACTAGTAAATAAAAGGGGAAAAAATAAAAAAAAAAATAAAAAAAATAAAAATAAAAAACTTGCAAAAGTTATAGTACTATAATTTTAACAAGTCTGTCATGAAAATAAAAAGACAAAAATCAAAACTAGTAAACAAAAAGGAAAAAATATAAAACCTTGCAAGAGTTGTAGTACTAAGGATGTCATGAAAATAAAATTAATAAACCTTCCTATTAGAATCCTATAGGTGTAAATGTGTAACCAACTCCAATGTATAAACTATAAACAAACATAATCTTACTTAATAAAGTTTGTAGGTCGATTTTATTCTTGTTTAATGCTCCATAAAATCTTTGTATATAGATGTATCATCTTAACACAAATAGATAAAGTCGAAGGATAGAATGGAGAAATCTTAAATATCTCGCCTTTTTTTCTCAATTTTCATGTTCCTAATATTTTATTGGATTGTTTGATCTTAAAATATGGTTCATGCACTTTATCTATTTCCTATCCACCCTTAATTTTCTAAGCACACATAATTTGTTTCTTAACATCTTTATAGGAGATTTATTAGAATGCCCACTAACATAGCATGATATATGTAGCCAGTCTTAAGAAAAGCAATCATCTTGTTTTGAACCATTAAAACTTTTATTGGAGGTGATAATTAATTATTAGTGCTAATTATATTTTATTTGATGGAGTTTAGAATTATAGCAATAGTTTTGCTTTGTTCATATTTTGCTGCAAAGGTCATATACCAATGGCTTAAGCCCAACTTACATACACCACATAAACTCCCACCTGGTCCACCAAGGTGGCCCCTTTTTGGAAACCTCCTTCAATTAGGTTCACTTCCCCACCGTGACTTCGCCTCCTTTTGTGAGAAATATGGACCCTTGGTTTACCTAAAGCTCGGTAATGTGGGTGCCATAACCACTAATGATCCAGAAATCATACGTGAGATCTTGGTTCGACAAGATGAGGTTTTTGCCTCTCGCCCACAAACGCTAGCCGCAACCCACCTAGCCTATAATAGTGGAGATGTGGCCTTAGCTCCAATGGGCCCAAAATGGAAAAGAATGAGAAGGATTTGCATGGAGCACTTGCTCACAACTAAAAGGCTCGAGCTCTTCGTGAATCATCGGGCTGAAGAAGCCCAACATTTGATTCAAGATGTATGGGCTCGTTCCCAAGGAAATAAGCCCATTAACTTGAGGGATGTGTTGGGTTCATTTTCTATGAACAATGTAACTAGGATGTTGTTGGGGAAACAATACTTTGGAGCTGGAACGGCGGGTCCACAAGAGGCCCTAGAGTTCATGCACATAACACATCAATTGTTTTGGCTATTAGGCTTGATTTACCTGGGTGATTACTTGCCAATTTGGAGGTGGGTTGATCCATATGGGTGTGAGAAGAAAATGAGAGAGATTGAGAAAAGGGTTGATGATTTTCATAGCAGGATAATTGAGGAGCATAGAAAGGCAAAGAAAAGAAGAGAAGAGTTGGGAGTAGATGAAGGAGAAATGGACTTTGTCGATGTTTTGTTGACCTTGCCTGGAGAAGATGGAAAGGAGCCCTTGGAAGATGTGGAAATCAAAGCTCTAATCCAGGTACCCTTACATTATTTGAGTAAAATAGTAGGTTTATAAGTGAAATATTGTTTCATACATAAATGTATATTCCCACCAAGTTAGACTTAACAATTATTTTAAAAAAGAATAATTAAAATAACATGTTAAAAAATATGCAATCATACGAAATTGATGATGAATTTTGACCTATATATTGAAGCAAAAGAGAAGTTTATGTACTCCCAAAAGAAAAAGATTTGTGTTAGCTAAGTTCAATCAATGTTCCCAACAACAACAATAATAATCCAATAAATAATCTTATTAGGATACAATTTCGAGAAATTTGAATGTGTATACTTGCTCGACATGGAATATACATTTATCTTAGACATCTAATTAGTTTTAACTTCCGCATTATATCACCACTTGTATGCACATTTTAAAATCATTATTCACACAATTACTTGAAAATAGGATATGATTGCTGCAGCAACAGACACATCAGCTGTGACAAACGAATGGGCAATGGCTGAAGTAATTAAGCATCCACGTGTCCTTCATAAGATCCAACAAGAACTTGACACGGTTGTAGGGCCCAACAGAATGGTATTAGAATCAGACCTTCCCCAACTTAACTACTTGCGTTGCGTTGTACGAGAAACTTTCCGTATGCATCCAGCAGGGCCCTTCTTAATCCCACACGAATCACTACGTCCCACCACAATCAATGGCTACGACATCCCAGAAGGGACACGTGTATTCATCAACACACATGGACTAGGGCGAAACCCTATGGTGTGGGACAACATAGAGGAATTCTATCCCGAAAGACATTGGTCGTTGGATGGTAGCAGAGTTGAGATCAGTCATGGATCTGATTTTAAGATACTACCGTTTAGTGCGGGAAAGAGAAGATGTCCAGGCGCCCCACTTGGGGTGGTGTTTGTATTAATGGGATTAGCTAGGCTTTTCCATGCATTTGATTGGTTGCCACCTGATGGAATGAAGCCAGAGGAGATTGATACTGAGGAAGTTTATGGGATGACTATGCCTAAAGCTCAACCTCTAATGGCTTTGGCTAAACCAAGGCTTGCCCCTCAATTCTATTTATGATACATCTTAAATTGTTCTATCAATAGCTCAATATAAGCGTGTCTTACTTTTTTCTTGTAAACATATAAACATTGGCTTGGAATGACTCCTATGCTAAAAAAGGTTACTCTTTTCATTTGAAAATTATAGTCCTGAAACCTGGTAGTAGTTTTTTTCGCTTTACTAGAAATTGTCTCACTACTGAGGCCTTATACCGTATTTGTTAAACAACTTGAGTTAGAGTTGAAGGGATCATGTATTTAACCTATAAATATACACAATACAAAACCAATTCAACTTGATCGACCCATTTATATAAGATCTAACCCAAACCTTATTGACGATATTACAAAACCCGAGTTCGAGAGATTGTTATATATATCCGGGTGTACTGTACACTCATGAGTATTTTATACTCATTTTGACGATTGTTTTTCATTTAATCATCAAATGAGAAGAAAAAACTAACCTTGGGTTAGTTGGGTGTACAGTATACCCTGGTGTATATAACAAATTCTACCCGAGTTCGAATCTCGGTGGGACCTTCTTTTTAAATTTTAGTTTCAAAATCGTTAAACCCTTTTTCTTCTTTTTTTTTTTAAAAAAAAGAAAATCCAAACTTTTTCATCTCTTTCATTTGGCAAATCTAATATATCATATCACTAATAAATAAAGCCGGACTCGTAACCATGCCACGAGACAGCGACACTTGGCATTCCAGTTTTTTGCCAAGTGTCGAGCCACTTAGGCGACAAATAGGTTTTATTGTGACACATATAATACTAAGTAAGCGAATTATGGATAAATTTTTTAAGATATTATTTTTGTGTAGAGTTTTATTATTGATATACTTCTAATATTTTCATATATACAAATTTAATCATAAATTTTAATAAATATCCTATAACACTTGGCATTCCAGTTTTTCGCCAAGTGTCGCGCCACGTAGGATATAAATAAGTATTATTGTGACACATATGATGCTAAGTAAACGATTTTTGGATAGATTTTTTAAAATAGAATTATTGCATAGAGTTTTATTATCGATAAAATTCTAATATTTCATATATACAAAATTAATCATAACTTTTAATAAATATTCTATAACTCAGTTCTATTTCCATCACCAAATTCGTTTTAAAATTTTCTTTAAAATAAGATCCATTTATAATATATTTATTTTATAAAATTAATAGAGAATTAGTAAAAATCAATTTTAATCCATAAAAATAATTTTAGTATGATAAAAATCAAAATAAAGCAAAGGGAACATTGAAAAAATGTTGTCTAATATAGAAAAAGTATTATAAGATCCATTTACAACACATTCAGTTCAGTAAAGAAATTTAAGTTCAATAAAAATAATTTTAAGTTAACAATAACATAGATATATTTAATTTATTCAAAAAAATAAAAATAAAGAATATGTTAAAATAATTTCTAATCAATAATAATAATTTTGTTTGCTAAAAATACTTTCAATTTAGTAAAAATAATTTAAGTTCAAAAAAAATAATTTCAAGTCAATAATAACATAGATATCTGTTTATAAACAAAACTACAAAAAGTACACTACTATATAAATTATCAAAAGGGATTATATGACCGTATTTAATATTCATGCCAAAAGTTTATCATAAATCTTATCAACCATCCGGGCATCGTCCGGGCACAAAACTAGTATCATATCACTAATAAATAAAGTCGGTCTCGCAGTCAAGCCACAAGACGGCGACACTTGGCATTCCAGTTTTTTGCCAAGTGTCGCGCCACGTAGGCGACAAATATGTATTATTGTGACAAATATGTTGCTAAGTAAGCGATTCTTGGAAAAGTTTTTTTTAGGATAAAAAATGTTGTATAGAGTTTTATTATCACTATACTTCTAATATTTCAGATATACAAAATTAATCATAACTTTTAATAAATATCGTATAACTCGGTTTTATTTCCATCATAAAATTCCTTTCAAAAAGTTCTTTAAAACAAGATCCATTTATAATATATTTAATTTAGTTAAAAAAATGATAGAGAATCTGTAAAAATAAGTTTTAATCAATAAAAATAATTTTGATTTGGTAAAAATACTTTCGGTTTAGTAAAAAAATTTAAGTTCAATAACAATAATTTCAAGTCAATAATAACATAGATATCTATTTACAAACAAAACTACAAAAGGTACACTATTATATGATATTGTACGTCTAAATATCTTGTATTATCAAAAGGGATTATATGCCCATATTTAATATTTAAGCCAAAAGTTTATCCTAAAATTTTATCAACAATTTGGGCATTGCCCATAAAATCGGTCTCACAGTCAAGCCACGAGACAGTGACACTTGACATTCCAGTTTTTCGCCAAATGTCACGCCAAGTAGGCGACAAATAGGTATTATTGTGACACATATGATGCTAAGTAAGGGATAGATTTTAAAGATAAAAATGTTATATAGAGTTTTATTTTCAATATATTTCTAATATCTCATACATACAAAATTAATCATAACTTTTAATAAATATGTTATAATTCGGTACTATTTCCATCATAAAATTCGTTTTAAAATTAAAAGTTCTTTAAAATAAGATTCATTTATAATATATTTAATTTATTTACAAAAATGATAGAGAATTAGTGAAAATAAGTTTTAAATATGAAAAATAATTTTTGTTTTGGTAAAAATACTTTTGGTTTAGTAAAAATAATTTCAGTTCAATAAAATATATTTCAGCTCTGTATGTCTAAATATCCTGCATTATCAAAATGGATTATAGGATCGTATTGAACATTCAATCCAAAAAAGTTTATCCTAAACATTTATCAACCATTTTGGCATCAATATATATAAATGGGAGTTTTTCCCAAGATTTTAGAGAGCCGCGTTGGATTTTAATTTTTTAAAAGCAAAAAATATGTTCATCATTTATCGTTTATTCGGCTAAAAGATTAAATTATACGTTAATAAAATTTATCATATCTAATAAATTTTATCACCACTTTAAATCCAGTATTTTTTTTTTCAATCCTATATAAACTTTTAATTCTAATGCTCCATGCAAATAAACGTAAAACTTTTGCAGGCAAAGAAGCATATTTTAGAATTTGAACACCATGAAATTCTTGAATGCGATGAACAATGATCATGATTAAAAAGTACAATGATTATGATTAACAAGTCAGTCATAACTCATAAGTGTTAATTTTGCAATTCAAAAGGACGGGTTTAATCACACTTTATCAACTGGCACGATCAACGATTGATTTACAAAGGATGTTAGAAGCCTGAAAGATTAAAAATTTGTTTGTATATGTGTGTACCTTAATTGTATAAGATTAAAAAAAAATAGTAATATTATGTATTAATATTTTGTTATATCGATTAAATATTAAATGTTAAGTTTAACCTAAAAAAAATAGTAATACTATGTTTTAATATTTTGTTATATGATTAAATATTAAATGTTAACTGTTAAGTTTAAATCTAGTCTCTTTGATTTCCACACTCTTTCAAACTGAAACTGAAACAAAACCGTGAAAGTACGATACTTCATCCCCTCAAACCTGAATCTCTCTCCAACCTCCTCACACTCACTCCCTCTACTCAAAATGGACGTTGAAACCGCCGACAAAATCCACGTCACTGTCACCGACATCCTTAACTCCTCCGACAGTGACTCCCTGACTGAGAAACAAATCCGACATCTTGCCTCCCAAAAACTCAACATCGACCTCTCCGATTTGCCCCGCAAATTTCTCATCCGACAAATCATCGAATCTTTCTTACGTTCTTCCGACCAACCTCAAAACGACACCGTTTTGCCCCCTAATTTACCCTCCACCTCCATTAATGAACCCCACAAAGAAATTCCATTACAACACACAGAAATAAAGCTTCCTGATTCATGTCGAGTTATTTGCAAGGTGGGTTTTTTTCGGAATTTCTCTATAAATTTCTGTTTTTTAATTTATTGTAATTTTGCTTTAAACCCTAATTTTGTACCTGAGATGTTAATTCAATGTTGCAATATAATCTCTGATTATATATTATACATATCTAATTCTAATTTTATCTTATGGTATGTTCTTGATTATGATCATAATCCTAAATTTTGTAGAAATTAATGTTGAATTGGTGAATTATTATGCACTATTTAATTTCATAGTAATGTTGAATGGTTTGTAGTTGTCACAAAAGAGAGATTTAGCAGTGAGATATTCAGGAGGGAGAACAGTTGTTTCAATTGGAGAACTATCTATGAAGGATGGGAAGGCCATTCCAACACCTAATAAATGTAATTATAAACCTTCATCTTCCTTGGTAAGCTGTGTTGTGCATTTTCATTTGGATTGATAAGATATTATGTACATTGTTGATTCGTTGTGAATTTTGTTGTGTGTTCTTTGTTAAGGGAATATGCTAGGTGGACAAAATTTGATTGTTGGTTGTTTTGTAACGCATACAGTTAAAGAGGTCGAAACCTTGATTCGAGCATCCTTTATTGGTTTTTTAGTTCTCTCTTTAGGCTTTTGGATTTGAGTTTAAGGTTGATGCTGAAAAAAGGTTCTCTGTTGAATTTGAGTGTTGAAGCTCTCTTCAATTGGGAAGATAAAGGAATGTTAAAACTTGTGATGATTTACAAGATGTTAAAGTAGGTTGGAACTCTTGGAAGTAGGAGTGTTTTATGCTGAATGTATCTAGCATTATTATGCATTCATATCTTGTTTTACTTGATTGTTAATCTATAAGGACTATAACCTTTGATGAGGGCAGAGTAAGGAAAGGAGGAGGGGGAGGAGGGTTTGAGGAGTGGAGATAGATTGTATGTTCGTAACCAAACAAAACCAATCCATCCAAAAAGGTACTCCCTTTGTTCCAAAATAATAGCTCGAATGAGGCTTTTGTTGTCAAACCTAGTCAAGTTTAACAGAATGTCTGGAAATGGTGATTTCACATTGTAATTCGGTACTTATCTTGACAAAGTACCTTTCAGAGTTTGCAAAATTGACCTAATATTTTGGAACATAGGGAGTATTTTATCTTTTGATCAATACTACTATGCTATGCGTGCCATTAGTTTTTGTTTTAAGCATGTGTGATTGATGTGGCTGTCATAGATCTCTTCCTTTCTCTTTCATCTAATTTGTGCTGATGGGTTGCTAGGCATTAACTTATTTCCTGACCAGTGGTCACTTCTCCGAAAGAGCGTCCCTGCAGTTGATGAAGCTATAGTAGAGGCTGAATCAAAAATAAGGTTGGTCCTTTTTCGCTTTAAGAATCTTTAAGAATATAAAAATGTATTTTGCCAAGGCTTTCTTCTCAGTCTTCCTTCCAGCATGTACATATGGCTTAAATGACGAGTGACACGGATGCCGTGATGTATTCTGTAGATCTGAACCTGACAATAAACAAGCTTTTGATAAGCTTGATACATCTGCATATAGAAGCAAACAGAATGGTGGTGGTCACTTTGGACGAAGTGGAGCTGAACCAACTAAAAAAGATGGTGCACACCATAGACCTAGACTTATGGCCACTAGAGAACGTACTCAAGATACTTCAACTGTGGTTTCTACACCCCGAAGACTTGTACCTATTGAAGTTATTCGTTTTGATGGTAAGAATTACCAGGAATGGGCTGATCGAATGGAATTATATCTGAACCAATTGAAGGTTGCTTACGTGCTTTCTGAACCATGCCCTAGTGGGCTGGGAGTCGCGGACAAGGAGATTGCACAGACTTTATCTGCTGCAGAAAGATGGATGGATGATGACCATATATGTCGTCAAAACATCTTAAATTCCCTATGTGACAATCTTTTAAGACATTACTCTGAAAAATCAGGCACTGCTAAAGATCTTTGGGAAGAACTCAAGCTCGTCTATCTTCAGGAAGAGCATGGATCTAAAGTTTCTCTGGTTAAGAAGTATATTGATTTCCAAATATCTGAAGAGAACTCGATCTTTGAGCAAGTTCATGAGTTCCATCAGATTGCAGATGCACTTATTGCTTCGGGTATGTATGTTGAGGAAAAGTTTCATGTCAACGTCATCATTTCTAAGCTTCCCCCATCTTGGAAACCCTACAGCATCCAGTTGATGAAGGAAGACAACTTACCTGTATGGATGTTGATGAATCAGCTGAAGGCAGAAGAGGAATCTCGTCAGAAAGGTCACATGGGTGACACTCTTGTTCCTAGGGCCAATTTTCCTGTGTTTCAGCCCAACAAGAAATACGGACCCCAGAAAATGCCTATGAAGAAGCCTGGATTTCCTCATGCTAATCCTGAAGCAGACGGGGTTAAGAAGTTTAAGTTCTGCAACATTTGTAAGAAGAGGGGGCATTACATGGAGCAATGTAGGTTCCGTAAAACTGAAGGGATGTATATTGCAAATGTAAAGGATAGTGTCACTTCTGCAAATGCAGTTGTTGGGAGCAATGGGGCAGACAAAGATGGAGCTGTAGGTAACAGTACTAATTAGGTACCTCGCTCTCCCCCCTAAACTCAAAATTATAATTATTACTCGTACTTAAATCATGCCAATGATTGGACTAGTGGAAAGATTTTGTTGGCTAGGTAGGAATATGTAAAGAACCCAGCAAGGGACAGAATATGGTGCGATGATCTTAGATTGTCTTATACGAAGTAATTTTTTGCCTTCATTACTAGCTCGTGGCGGGTATTATTGATTTGTAAATTTTTGATGGATCAATAATTTCAAAAAAAGCCAAATAGAAAGCGAGATTTTATTAATTAATTTTCTTTTTCAAAGGATCTATCTCCCCGACCCTCTCCTTGATCTTATTTCCGCAAGTGGTAGCAGCATTTATGGCTGCACTTACCCTTGTTGCTGTGTCAAAGTCTCGCCTCAAGACCTGCTTCTAGATCACCTGGAACTCTCGAGTAGACACCCTGGCAATCTTCCAATACATTTTCTCCTACAGGACCTGTCATATTGAGGTTTAAGATCGTGCCAATGGTTGAATTAATGGCTTTGGCACTTGATATGCTCAACTCAAAGGAGATTGTAGCTAGTTGTGGGGCAGTTGATGTGAGGCTGCGAGGATCCGACCCAAGTGTTGATATGCAGGATTCGTAAGTGACATTTATCGGGTCAGCTTCAGAGATGTCCTTGCAGACAGGGAGTAAAAGACTGGTTAAAGCAGCAGTTGTAAGTAAGCAACATAGTATACTCGTGATGAAGACGTAAAAGATGTTTTTATTCATATTTGTTGGTGCTTTTAATCTGTGAAGGCAGGTGCTGAAAATCGTCCTTTGTGTTTTTGCCCCCCTCCCCCCCTCTCTTGAAGTATGCTATTGAAAATTTTTCGACGAAGCTATATGGAGCTTATAGGGTGTTCTTGGGTCATAAAACTTTATAGGAGTAAAATAGAAACATATAACATGTTGTTAGAAGGCAATGTGAATGTCAATAATTGATTTGATGTTACAATGCATATATGAGTCCAACCCTTGTGAGCCCATATTGTCTATATGTATGAAATCATTGTACTCTTAGTTGAATACTCATGCTATATATAGAGTGGCATGCAAGAGAAATTCAACGAGCAATACTTATCAGTTCCTCTATCTCCTCTTACTCCTTCATTTCTCCGAAATAAAACTTTCTATCAGTAAAATTTTTAACACGTTATCAGCACCAGTTTTCAGTCAAGTATATTTATACCTACTTATAAAAATTTATAACAAAATAATACTATCTACTTCTAACTGTTTCGAGGAGTATGCTCTATAGTTGCCCATATTTGGGACCCTCTATAACAGAAACTCAAACATTTACTATATATACCTCAAAAACAACGGTGAAAGTTCTCTTACTTGTGAATTTACTACTATCATCTTTTGTTTATTCATGTTGATGTTTCTTTGTTTGATCCATGTTGATATTACATACTCATTTTACGTAAATTTTTATCTTAGTTATTATAATTGCTAAGTAGTAGCTTTGCATGCATATTATTATTAACTAGATTAACAAAAAGATGCAGCCTTTTTATACTTATTATTTTTCTTACTTTTACATACTTTTTTGTGTTTCTTTCCGTTTTCGAACCCATGATCTTTTATAGATATTAGGGCTCTCGGACCACTATGGCTTGCATTCCCAGTGTGATAACCTTTTACAATTATAAATATATATATTTAGACCATAATTTTTGTCAGTATATTAGATTGTTATATGATATTTTTACAGTTGTACAGAACAGTAACGGATAAACCTACCTCTATAAAAGGCGGATTTTTCCCCGATTTCACCACAAATCCCTTATCCCTTCCCACTTTTTATCCAAAAATCACCTAAATTTTTTTTTTTTCACCCCCTTCTTCTCCGATATGTTCCCCGACGACGGCAACCAAAACACCCACAACTTCACTTTTGAGGAAGATTTAATGAAGATAAAACAATATTTCCTTCTAATTACGGCGCTTGTAATTTTATTAGTAGCAATATTAATTTTTGTCATTATGTATAAGTAAAACTCACTTATTTTGTCGTTTTAGTATATTAAAAGCTTGTTTTTGTTTTATTATGTATGTTTGTTGTTATTAATCATCATTGTATAATATTACCGTTATCATTATAATTATTGTTACTACTGTCATTGTTGTCGTTTTGCTGTTTTTTTTGCAACTAACATGATTAATTTTTGTCTAATCATATAATTACTCACAATAATAAACCAAGGGGGAGAAAAGACTATATTATTTATGGTTTATTATTATTAAATTTAATTATCACGTGTCTTATTAACTTAATTATAAATATGGAAGAACTAAACATGTGAGTTGTACATATAATTTGTTATTATAATCTAATTATCACGAAATTTGTTGTAGCTAAAATGGGAGACCTTATGAAAAGACAGTTCAGCATCTTAGATTTATCTGGAAAGAAATTTCTGGAATGAAAAGTGGACGCAATGATGAATTTGAAAGCTCAAGGCTTGGAGCACACTGTTAAAGAAAATAAAAGTCCCCCTGGTCAAACAATTGATACTACCACTTCTGCAATGACGGTTGAAAAACCCATTACCGAACAAGAAAAGGCAAAAGCCTTAGTGTTACTAAGGCATCATTTACATGACGGCCTTAAAACTGAGTACATGATGGTTGAAGATCCCAAAGAATTATGGGACTGCCTTAATGAAAGATTTGGACACCACAAAAGGGTGCTCCTTCCTAAGGCATTATTTGACTGGACAAATTTACGGTTCCAGGATTTCAAATCTGTAATAGATTACAATTCAACCATACATGAGATAGTATCTATATTGAGATACTGTGATCATCCAGTCACCGATGAACAAATGATTGAAAAAACACTCACTACCTTTCATGCAAGCAACATACTGTTGCAAGAACAATATCGTGAAAGAGGTTTTAAGAAGTTTACTGAATTAATGAGTGTATTGCTTGTTGCGGAACAAAATAGCGATCTTTTGTTGAAAAATCATAATCTCAGACCAACTGGGTCTTTGGCCACTCATCATGAGGCAAATGCAACAAATTCCTATCCACCCGAGTCAAATGCTACAAGAAGAGGTGGACGTGGAAATTACAATGGCCGTGGAAGAGGCCGTGGAAATTATCGCGGACGCGGCCGTGGTCGTGGTAGAAATAATTTTCAAAGAAACAGTAATTTCAAAAATTTTGAAAAACAGAAGGGACAGTCATCTGGAAGCCACAAACAAACTCCTTCGAAAGGAAAAGACACATGTTACAGATGTGGCATGACAGGACATTGGGGACGTACTTGTCGAACGGCCAAACATTTGGTAGACCTTTACTAGGCTTCTGTAAAAGGCAAAGAGAAAAATGCAGAAGCAAATTATGTTAATGAGGAAAATGCTCCTTGTCCCAGCCTTGATGTGTCTGATTATTTCATGGATAATGCTGAAATTGGAAATGATTTCATTCTTGGAGAAAACAACAATACTTAGGTTTCTCATCTACTAATGTAACATATGCTATGTTTTAATGTATTTTCTTAGTTCCTTATATGTTAAATTTCTAGTCATGTACTCTAAATCTCTATCATCAATAAAAGTTTGTATGATATTATTCTAAACTAATCTCAAATTTATTTTATGAAGATATGGATCTACCTGAAGTTAGTTCCGAATATCAATGCCTTTTGGACAGTGGAACAACGCACACTATCTTAAAAGATAGAAAATATTTTTCACAACTAAAGTTGTTTCAAGCAAATGTAAACACCATTTCCGGGTCAGCTAAATTAATTGAAGGATCTGGAAAGGCTTGTATAATGCTTCTAAATGGAACAAAATTAATAATCAATAATGCTTTATATTCGAGTAAATCTCGAAGAAATCTCATAAGCTTTAAAGATGTACGCCAAAATGGCTATCATCTAGAAACAATGACAACAGATCAAAAAGAGTATATATGCCTCACGGCAGAAAAACATGGCAAGAAACATATATATGAGAAATTGCCAGCATACTCTTCGGGGTTATATCGTATAAACATACGACCCGTGGAAATCAATATGGTATCTAACCAAAAGTTAGATGACAAACATTTGATTATTTTATGGCATGATTGTTTGGGACATCCAGCAACTGGGATGATGCAAAGAATAATAGCACATTCAGTTGGACATTCAATAAGAAATGTCAAAATTCCCCGATCAGATGAATTAACATGCTCTGCATGCTCACTTGGCAAATTAATAATAAGGCCATCTATGAACAAAATTGCTACTGAATCTCCAAAATTCTTGGAAAGAATTCAGGGAGACATATTTGGGCCAATTAATCCAGCATGTGGACCATTTCGATATTTCATGGTTTTAATTGATGTCTCTACACGATGGTCACATGTTAGTCTACTTTCAAGTAGAAATGTTGCCTTTGCAAAATTACTTGCCCAAATCATCAAATTAAGAGCACAATTCCCAGATCATACAATAAAGAAAATAAGACTTGACAATGCTGGGGAATTTACATCCCAAACATTTAATGATTATTGTATGCAATTGGAATTGATGTTGAACATCCAGTAGCTCATGTCCATACACAAAATGGTCTAGCTGAATCACTAATTAAGAGATTACAATTGATTGCAAGACCATTATTAATGAGATCAAAATTGCCATCATCTGCTTGGGGACATGCTATAATACATGCAGCAGCACTAATTAGATTGAGACCTACAACTTATCATAAATTCTCACTACTACAACTTGTTTGTGGTAGAGAACCAAGTATCTCACATCTAAAAATCTTTGGTTGTGCTGTATATGTTCCTATTGCTCCACCCCAACGAACAAAAATGGGTCCACAAAGAAGGCTGGGAATTTATGTCGGGTTTGAATCCCCCTCTATAATTAAATATCTTGAACCATTGACTGGTGACTTATTTACGGCTAGATTTGCGGACTGTCACTTTAATGAAACAGTATTCCCAGCCTTAGGGGGAGAGAAAGTGGACCCACGTAAGAAAGAAATTGAACTCATTTGGAATGCAACACAACTGTTGATGTTAGACCCACGAACAAATATGAGTGAACAAGAAGTTAAGAAAATTGTTCATTTACAAAGTGTTGCAAATCAATTGCCTGATGCATTTGTAGACACAAAGAAGGTGACAAAATCACATATACCAGTAGAAAATGCCCCTGCACGTATTGAAATCCCAACTGGTAATAAGGCCATAGAAAATGAATCTCAGGCACGCAGAAAGCGTGGAAGACCACTTGGTTCAAAAGATTCTAAGCCAAGAAAATTGAAAAGATTGGATGGAATAGAAAATGAGACTAATGATGTTCCCCCGTCAGAAGGTCAAGAAAAACCAAATGTGGATGAAAGTAAAGAAAATGATGATAATCCAAAAGGGGACGAACAAGAAGACAACCCTACGGGGAATGAACAAGATGTTCAAAACATCGATAACAATGAAATTTCAATGAATTACGTCTCTACAAAGACTCAGTGGAATAAGAAAGATGTTATCGTTAATGAAACATTTGCAAATTCCATCGCAATCGACATCGTGTCTGATGAAAATGATGTTGAACCAAGAACTGTAGAAGAATGTCGACGTAGGAGTGATTGGCCAAAGTGGAAGGAGGCAATGCTGGCTGAGTTAAAGTCACTTGAAAAACGAGAAGTTTTTGGGAAAATAACCCTTACACCAGCAGGTGTAAAACCCGTTGGATACAAATGGGTATTTGTGAGAAAACGTAATGAGAAAAATGAAATAGTTAGATACAAAGCAAGACTTGTAGCCCAAGGATTTTCTCAAATTCCAGGGATTGATTATGAAGAAACATATTCTCCAGTGGTTGATGCAACTACATTAAGATTTCTGGTAAGTTTGACAGTCACAAAAGGACTGCAAATGCGATTAATGGATGTAGTGACTGCGTATTTGTATGGGTCACTCGATACGGACATTTACATGAAAGTCCCCGAAGGACTAAAACTACCAGAAAACCACAAGCCTAGACAACTGCTTTCCATAAAACTAAAAAGGTCACTTTATGGATTGAAACAATCTGGAAGGATGTGGTACAACCGTCCGAGTGAATACCTTATGAGAGAAGGATTCAAAAACAACCAAGTTAGTCCCTGTGTTTTCATAAAGCGATCACAATCAGGATTCGCTATCATTGCAGTTTATGTTGATGATTTAAATATCATCGGAACCCCAAATGAACTCGAGAAAACTGCAAAATACTTGATGAAAGAATTTGAGATGAAAGACCTTGGGAAAACTAAATTTTGCCTTGGACTACAAATTGAGCAATTGAGTCATGGCATTTTTGTCCATCAATCAAACTATACAGAAAGAGTTTTGAAACGTTTCTTCATGGACAAAGCAACCCCAACCAACTTCCCAATGGTTGTTCGTTCTTTGAATATGAAAAATGATCCATTCAGACCCCGAGAAGAAAATGAAGAGATTCTGGGTCCAGAAGTACCATACTTAAGTGCAATTGGAGCCTTAATGTACTTAGCTAACAATACTAGACCCGACATAGCTTTCTCTGTGAATTTGTTAGCCAGGCACAACAATGCACCAACATATAGGCATTGGAAGGGAGTTCGACACTTACTCCGGTACCTACGAGGGACACAAGACCTTGGTTTATATTACCAACCAAAACAAGATGCTGCTCTCATTGGGTATGCAGACGCTGGATACTTATCAGATCCTCAAAATGCCAAGTCACAAAATGGATATGTATTCACTTATGGAGGCACTGCAATATCTTGGAAATCAACAAAGCAGACATTGACTGCGACATCATCAAATCATGCAGAGTTGATAGCCCTCTACGAAGCAGGACGGGAATGTGTATGGCTAAGGTTGATGATCAGTAATATCCAAAAGGAGTGTGGAATGAACGTAATAACAGAAGACCCAACCATCATCTTTGAAGACAATACAGCATGTATCGCTCAAGTAACTGAAGGATATATTAAGGGAGATAAAACGAAACATATTGCCCCAAAACTGTTCTTCACACATGATCTGCAAAAGGACGAGGAAATAAATATCCAGCAAATTCAGTCTTGTGAAAATCTTGCCGACCTTTTCACCAAATCACTTCCTTCGAAGAAATTTGAACAGTTAGTTCACAAAATCGGAATGCGACATCTTCGTGAACTATGCTGAGATCAGGGGGAGTATTATATGTACTGCACTCTTTTTCCCTTTGATCAGGTTTTTATCCCACCGGGTTTTTCCTGACAAGGTTTTTAACGAGGTAGTATACCAAATCATATAATACTATATCGTTGTACTCTTTTTCCCTAGCTATGGTATTTACCCCATAAGGGTTTTACCTAGCAAGGTTTTTAATGAGACAACAAATACCTTTTGTGTATAAGTATGAGCATTCAAGGGGGAGTGTTAGAAGGCAATGTGAATGCCAATAATTGATTTGATGTTACAATGCATATATTAGTCCAACCCTTGTGAACCCATATTGTCTATATGTATGAAATCATTGTACTCTTAGTTGAATACTCATGCTATATATAGAGTGGCATGCAAGAGAAATTTAACGAGCAATACTTATCAGTTCCTCTATCTCCTCTTACTCCTTCATTTCTCCGAAATAAAACTTTCTATCAGTAAAATTTTTAACACATGCACGATTTTTATTCATGCATTATTAAACAAGCATAAGAAACTTTCTACGAAGTATAATGAAACTGTCCACACTAAAAGCCTTGCATGAAGTAAGACTGATGACCAAAGCCTGTCTTTGCCTCAATCAACTATTGTGTTTCTCGTGATACTCTTATTAATTAGCTTAGCTTCGCTACATTATAATGAAAACACCTCATGACAATCATGACCTTGATATGAGAAGGTTTCGAGTTTATTACAACATAAATTTATTTTTGGAAGTAATAGATCGATCTAATGTGTAATACCCACCAGGAATTATTAACTATTCGTACAAAAAGATTATTTTTTCAACACGTCAGTAAAGGCAAGAAAAATATCAGTTAACTTGAAAAAATCAGTATTTTCCTTAGTTAAAGGAGACACTTCTCCTTCCTTCTCCTTAAATGTATCCTCACAATCTGGACCACTATCCATGGCTGCACTTATTCGTACATTAGCTGTTGAAAGATCCTTACCCTTCAAAGAATCAAGACCCTCTTGCAAATCAGCCTGAGCATCCGAATACAGGTCCGAACAAGTTTCCAACGCGTTCTTGGCGAATGGGCTGAACTTAGGGTCTTTCCGGAGTTTATTAATGGTTGTTATGATGGATTTTGCCTTATATGAACTGAAGTTAAAGGAGATCTCTATTAATTCATCAATGGTTGCATTCATGCTCCGACGATACGACGTGAATGCCTTCACACAGAAATCATAATTGATATTTTTTGGGTCAGATTTTGAGATTTTCATGCAAGTATCCGGTATAAGGTTATGGTTTGTAGCTTTTGCTTGGGAAAAAGTTAAGCAAATGATGAATACTACTAGAGAAATAATGTTACATTCCATTTTTTTAATGCCCTTTGAAAAGTTGAACCAGAAAATTAAGATTTAAGTAAAGAATAGCTAGGAAAATGGTGGTTTAAATAGAGGAAGAGTGTTCTAAAATCCAAATTAAGTTAGTGTACGATAATTAAGGGGGAAATCATTATCATATATGGTTATTATTCAATGAACTTCTTCACTCATAACTTTTAAGCTCAATTATTGCTGTAAAATATTACGTCCATTTCAATTCATACCTTATAAACCAATCAATGTGATCACATTATATAAATGTATTCTATAATCCACTGATCCTCCATGTTTTTAGTAAATATTATTGACCTATTATATGATTGAAATTAGAATAATATTTCTTTTTTCATCTTCTTGTTTGAGCACAAATTTTCCACAAAGTCTTTTTGTTTTGACTTCGTCACTAATCAAAAAGGAAAAAGTTTTTTTTTTTTTTTTTTTTTTCGTTTAAAACTTCAAAATTCATCCTTTTAAATGTTACACCTTCACATAAAATTAACATAAAATCTAGCGAAGAAGCCAAACACAGAAACACTGTATTAGAGATGTCATTTTTGGAGACAGTTTGTAATAAAATCGTGTAGATTTTATTAATAATAATCGGCTATAGTCACTAAAATAATAAATAAATGAATGTAATTAGAGAATATAATAATTTTTTTTAAATCCGAAAATCAATAAAGCTTAGCTAGACTATTCAAATGGGCATTGAGAAAATAACATATGTACGAGCACAACAAATATTGTATGGGAAAATGTTTACGAATGAACTTTATTAACATTATTATGTCATATAAAAAGAGTGATTTTCCTTAATAATGCTAAAATACAAATTAATTCCTTATATAAGTTGGTTTAAAAACTATTTCCCACCATACCGTCCACGTAGGATCGGTTCCTAGGTTTGAAATTTCGCAGTATAAATCCGCTAATAATGTTAGCAATTCTATATATAGAACCACTAATACCATTAGAGGTTCTATGCATAGAACCTCTAATACCATTAGCAATTCTAAGTTAAAGCTACCTTGTTTACTTTATCTTTCACAACCAAATTATGTAGAATCGCTAATGGTATTAGCGGTTCTACCGCTAATACCATTTAGAACCTCTAATGCCAAGAGTTTCTATATTAGTTAAGATCGCAAACAATGTTAGCGGTTTTATACTTGCAAATACCGATTCTTGAAACCAAGCCTGCGTGGACGGTATCATGGAAAATAGTTTTAAAACCAATGTATATAAGGAATTAGTTTGTGTTATTGCATTGTTTTAGGAAATCACTCCATATAAAAATGATATCAGTGCAAAGTCCATTTTGTTTTGAATTTTTTGTGTGACAATTGTCGTTCAAAAAGGAAAAACTTTTAAAGGCGTAGAGATTACTCAGCATGGATTAAACTTCGATTATCTTTTTAAGTGTTACACCTTCACTAGGCAAGTATTTTATTTATAGAGGTCCTTATTGGGGAGAAATTTCTTGATCGCATATAACTTTGATTAATAATTATATTCGGTTTTAATAACTGAATCATCAATAAAAATTACTCGTAGTAAGTAGAGAAAATAATACATGTATGAGCACAACAAAAAAAAATATTGTACTGAACTACAGAATTTCAATTTCCACAAATAAACTTTATTAAGATTATTATGCATTTATGCTAATTAAATGATTATTTAGTTCGTTGCCTTTAACAAATCGGCAAAACCAAGTGCAATGGAAGACAATTGAAAAAAATAACCATTCTCCTTTGTCAAAGGAGATTGCGCAAACTTGTTTTGACAAGCAGCAGGGTCATTTTGTGCAGCACTTGCTTTATTACTAGCTGTGAAATAATCCCCACTTGTTAAAGCCGTTAAACCATCTTGTAAATTCTTATTAGCATCCGTATAAATCTCTGTACATGCCTTCAAGCCCTCCTTAGTCGACGGATCGGTTTTCGGATCATTGACAATGGTGTCAATTTTTGAAAGTATGGACGTGGTGTTGGATATGGCCATTTGAAACGCGATGGTTCCAAGCTGTGCGACGGTTGTGTTTGCACTCTTTTGATCCGACTCGAGTACTTTTACACAAACGGGGTACTTCACATTTGCATCGTAATGTATGATTTTTTCGCAACTATCTGAAATGACATTAGCAGCATTGATCAAAGAAAGAATGGTAAAAATTATAGTGAGGAAGAAAAATACTGGTAGCTTGGAAAATGGACGGTTTGAATGCATTTTTAAACTGTTTGATAGATTGGATCGGCAACATAGTCACATTACTTATATATATATATATATATATATATATATATATATATATATATATATATATATATATATATAGGTGGGTATGTGTACGTTTGTGTGGATTGCAGACCTTTGCGGTCATAACTAGTAACTTATACTTTTATTGATACCAAAGCATCATATCAAGGTGGATATTTATTATTTATGGCAACAAAATATACAATATAGTTGTTACAAAAAGGAGAAGAAAAAAAAAAAAAACTAAATCATACAAGATAGTTGTTACAAAAAGGAGAAGAAAAAAAAAATAAAAAATCATACAAGATAGTTGTTACAAAAAGGAAAAGAAAGACAAATCATACAAGATAGAAGTAAAAAAAAAAAATCATACAACATAAAAGTTGAAGATATAAAAAAAAATCATACAAGATAGAAGTAGATTTTTATATGTATGGTAATATATCATCTTATAAAAGTGTATATCCCTGTTGATATTATAAGCTTTCATGAGTATTACTTTTGCTTGGATTTCATGGTCTTATATCATATGATTATACGAGTACTACATTCATTTTTTTTTTAATTTTTTTTCATGTGTTATATTCTAGGTTTTGCATTATTCACATGTTAATCATTGTTATGCATTTAAATAAACAAATTAAAAAAGGGAAAAAAATTAAATAAATAAAAACAATCACGTGACATTTTGTTAGAATCATGTAACTATATAAATTTCGAATATTAACTTTTTATAATTAATATTTATTGATGAATATAAAGATATTATTGCTCAAGACCCCAATTTAACTGGCTTACAAAAACATGAAAGATACTCCTTATTAATCTACAAACATAGTTAGGAATATCTAAGCATTAATTTTTATGAAGATTGTATAACATACCTCCATATAGTTTGGGGCCAAGTATAAAGTTCATTTGCAAGCAAAGTCCCACATTGAAAAAAACAAGAAAAACAATTCTACAGAGCAATACATAAACATTTCTTCAATGTAAGAGAATTCATATCTTTCTCGGCCTTTTGGCTAAGATCAAGTGTAGTATCTGTTCTTATCAGTTTAATATCTGATACGTGGGCCAATGGGCTACAACGATATTAAATTTATTTTTAAAGGGGGTAGTCCCATCACAGTAGCTTGCTACTGGGGTCATCAAGCGTCGCCCATGCGTTGCACTACTGCACGGGCCTGGCGCACCCCACCAATTTTCTGTGAAACATTTGCAGGTTAAAATTATTTTAGTGATGATGCGTGTGATTAGATCAGAAAAACAAGATTAAATGTTTCATTTGAATTTTATTGTATTGATTACTTGAGTTTTTGAGGTCAGACTTAACAGAAGCCTGTAGTCCTGTACCTTAAACCTTATGAAGTATATAAAGATGGACTTAGATGCAGCCTGATTACTGTGATTAGAGAGAGGCTGTGACGGCGACATAGTGACAAATTGCCTGTGAAGCAACGTTAAAACCATTTTTGATCTAGAAGGAAGAAGCAAAATATTTTCATTATGGTTTGCAGATAGATTTGGGTTTGATGTTTGGGATACGGAATGCTCATAGTGAAGAGTGACTGCTTGAACACGATTTTGAGAGCTACTTTTCCTTGAGTTAATTGCTGGGTGTCATGTTGGATAAAAGGCAACGTGGTTGCCCATTGTACTGCTGAAAGTCAGCCTTTCTCTACATTGGTGAGCAAAATATATGTATATATGCAGAGGGATTAGAGGAAATTATTCAATTAACATGAGTTAGCTAGGAAGGACATGTAATTTCATATTTTGATTTAATGTGGGATTTTACCACTGTGCTGCATTATAGTCCAGACTGATTTTTATCATATGCTACGAAAATTGAAGCAAAGACAATTGAGATCGCGACGCTGGAAAGAACAACGTCTCATCTGCTCTGCCTTGCTAATTAGATTTTTTCGATGTTACATTGTAAGTCCTGTAGCATGGTATATATTAAGGAAATGGACAATCTATCACCAGACATGAAACAAATGGATCACAGTAGTTGGCCCTCTATTGAAACAGGGATTTTGTAAGAAAGGCAGAATACATTACGTGGGTACACATACATCAATGAAAGCTTGTAATGAAGTGTTTTAATAAGTTCATGTACTCGGTTACTTATGAACATGATGTTTTACCCATTCATTTTCTTTCTATACAATTCTTACCAGGTGAGATATAAGTTAAATGATATACGGAGTAGAACATAGCATATAAATGATGAGTTAGTACTGCAGCTGAAGTTTAAGAGTATGAATAAAAAAATTATATTGACTAACAATATACATATCCCACATCGAAATATGAAGGCTGAACTACTGGAAGCGAGAGATTAAAAAGAAAAACAAAGAGATCACGCAACATACTTACCTGGACGGGGTCAATGGGCGATCAAGAAGGCCCATGGCCTAGGTCGATGGCCTCCATTGCACTTTGGTAGCGCATCAGTCTAAGATCTCCCCAACGTGGGAGAGTCTACGTCATAATTTGTGATAGTGGGGGCCTGCGTACGCGCGGCCCCTGTCTAATTTTACACAAAAATGTTTTTTTTTTATTTATTGACAAACACACTGATGTTTCTAGGCCAATTGTACCACTTGGTAATTAGTTGGACTTCTGTATTATTTATTCCTTCTGTATTATTTATTCTCTAGCCTTTGTCTAATTCTGTTAACATGTTTACTATTGTTGTCTAGTTGGGAAGCTATTTTGGGTTAACTTAAGTTTTACATATTTAATTTAAGAAGATGAAAGGAACACAATATAGCAGGGTTGGACTTTTCACTACCGCTGCAAGTTCGTTAGGCATCACACGAGGCAACTACATTTGTTGATCTTCTATTGTTGATAATTAAACTAAAGAACGAGTTTTAATTGTAAGAAATACATGATCTTCTAAGAACACTCTTATTGTTACTAATAAACGAGTTTTAATTGTACAAAGTAACAAAGATAATCACAGGCAGCATGAAGTACTTTAACATAAATCTCATCTTATAAGAACTGTTTGGAAAGAAATTCCGTGGACACTAAATTACAATATCATGTTATTAAGTTAAAAGAAAATATTTTCAATTCCCAAAAAAACATTAAATGTAAAAAATTAAAAAGCGTGGACGGCAGGATTCGAACCTGCGCGGGCAAAGCCCACATGATTTCTAGTCATGCCCGATAACCACTCCGGCACGTCCACCTTAATTGTTGTTTTGATGTCCGTTATTTTATTTATACCTTGACATATTCTCTGTTAACCAACAAAAAAATTTTCGTTACTTTGTATTGATTGTCCTTGTATGATCAAGGAAGCTTCCTTTTGATAGTAATTCAGAAATTCTGCTAGCTTCCAACAAGAATACATCTGAATGCTCAAATATAATGAAATGTGGAAAGTTCATATGAAGTAGATTAACCGACAAGTAATTTTTATGGCCTCCCATATATCTATAGCAAAATAACGTGTATGGCAATTTAGTGAAATGGGGTATCATGTTTTTCAAATAATTCAACTTTTCTGATGCCATCAATCTTGTTTTTATATTGTACAAGTATTTCATAGATGGAATCCTATATTCCCTCATTGCCGTTTTTTTATTTTTTTGGAAAGAAGTCCTAAAGGACATTAAATTTCATAAAATAAAGTCATACAACATCTACAATTGACAATTAACGATAATGAAAGCAGATTTAACAAAATCAAACAAGAATTAATCTGGAAAAGGCTCAGAATCCAAATACATAGATATAACACTTCGACACATTCTTGCTTCGTTGTCTCATACAACTTTTTGAGTGGATCCGTCGCCGCTTTATAATTTTGTGAGAAAGAAAATTCTTGTGCTGATTTCGTAACCCGAATCCAAGCCATAATCAATCGTAGCTTCGCACAACTAGAGACCCTATTAAGCACAAATAAAACCTTGTCTTTCGAATGAGATTCGAAAACCCCCGTCTTTTGAAGGAGATAAACACTTTCTTTCGAGGGAGACTATTATAACCTAAAAAACAAAGAAAACGTAAAAGAAATAAAAATTGGGGCTTTCCACCGGTGAAATCTGATGGAAGCTCCTTCAAAGATTGTCATTCTTATAGCATGTTATTTCGACTTATTTTAGGATTAATACGTTCGGAAAAGGCTTATAAGAAATATTAATATGAGCTCAAGTGCAAAATATGTGGGTGAAAAAAAACTGATATTATAATTTGTAATTTTTTTTTTTTTTAAAAAAGTTATAAAATAGTCATAAAATTGTGGCAAAAGTTAAAGTGTTACAAATAATTCACAAGTGTTAAACATATACTCCATAGAAATACAAGCCCAATTTAGCAGTAGAATTTTTTGTCATCGTAATTATTAATGATTTCAATTTTTGGTTTTTGATGATGAGAAGTTCCATGACTTAATTAAAATAAAGTACAGTTGTAAGCCAAAAATTGTAAAATTTGCAAGCCCAATTTAGCAGTATAATATGACCTTCAATTGTCCAAATTTACTTAATTCAATTATTAGTGATGTTGGCCTTTCGAAATGGGCTCCATACAAAGCTGATAACAATCTAACAAAGAGAATCCAAAAGAAAAAGAGTTATCTGAGTGGTCTCTAGGTTTCTATAAAGGGGTACGATACTAATATGATGTTATTAGCGTACTAAACAGTAATATTCCCAATCAAAGCTTACTTAACATACGACTTATTCGAAGCCCCTTTATCTTTTAACTCCCTTTTTCTTTCCAAGATATCTGACACAATTGCCGTTATGTGATGAACACATTATGATAATTTCACTTTTAACCAATAGTAAAAATGAATTATATTCTTGACTCTTTCTTTAGAAATAGCTAGAAAACTATATAAATAACGGAGTTGTATATTCTCTACTCTATCCCACGTTAGGAATAATTCTTTGTACTAGTTAAATTTACGCATAATATTATCATGATTTATAAGGTTAGTAACA